AGATCACAGTATTATACTGTAATATCATTTCTTTTAACCCTTGAGGATTAACTTTTATTTATTTTTTAACCCTTAGGGGTTCAATTTATTTAATTAATTAATTTAAATATTTTATAATTCTATATATTTTGCTAGCTGGAGTGGGTGGGAGTTATGGGAAAGGGGGGAATTTACTGTTAGTGCTGCTTACTGCTAGTTAGGGGTTAACGGTAAAAGAAAAGTTTAGAAATAAATTTAAATGTGTAAAAAAAGTTAAGAAAGTGTAAAACATTTAATAAGTAAAAAAAAAAAGTTTAAAAACGGGTTTTACAAAGTAAAAAATACATTATAAAATGCTCATTACCACTACACTTGGTACAAGCTAGCGGAAAAATTATGCCACGCTAAGGTTCAAAATATGCCTTTTGAATTACCCTGGGATGTCTTCTTTAAGAAATGGTATGCCTTTATGGTGTAATTGGATTATATAGCCTTGTAAAATACTCTAAAATGGGACATGGACACAGCGTAAAAATTCAAAATTTGAGAAAAACTGGAATGGCTGTGTCTCAAATGTGCCCCTTCAATGTCCACATATACCAGGCAAAGATACATACGGGGGTATTGCTGTACTCAGCCGACATAGCTGAGCAACATATGAAGTATTATACATCGTAGCACACATAAGGTTTGCAAAATATACTGCGCAAACTCACTTTGTGTGTCAAAAAAGCAGAAAAAATGCTTATTACCACTACACTTGGTACAAGCTAGCAGAAAAATGATCCTACACTAAGGTTCAAATTAGGCCTTTTGAATTGCCCTTGGATGTCTTATTTAAGAAATGGTATGCCTTTAAGGAGTAATTGGATTATATAGCCTTGTAAAATACTCTAAAATGGGACATGGACACAGCGTAAAAATTCAAAGTTTGAAAAAACTGGAATGGCTGTGTCCCAAATGTGCTCCTCCGATGTCCACATATACCAGGCAAAGGTACATACGGGGGTATTGCTGTACTCAGCCGACATAGCTGAGCAACATATGAAGTATTTTACAGTCATGGCACACATACGATTTGCAAAATATACTGTGCAAACTCACTTTGTGCGTCAAAAAGGAAAAAAAACGCTAATTACCACTACACTTGGTACAAGCTAGTAGAAAAATTATCCCACGCTAACGTTCAGAATATGCCTTTTAAAATACCCTGGGATGTGTTCTTTAAGAAATGGTATGCCTTTATGGTGTAGTTGTAATATGTAGCCTGCTCAAGTGCTCCAAAGTGGGACACGGACGCATCAAAAGCCTCCATGAAAATTCACACTTAAAAACCTTACCTTGTCATATCTCTTTTACAGCAGTGTAACTTCACAAAATAGTGTCTAGGTCATACATTGGGCATATTGTTTTACTCAGAAGACTTAGCTGAGCATAATTTGGGGGGTTTGAACTTAGTGGCACATATGAAATGTACAAAATGCCCATCAAAAATGCAATCCGTATGTAAAAAATGCCCAAAATTATTTTTTACCACATACTTTGGCATATATTGGTGAAAAAATGGGGGCATATTAAGGCACAATATGCACCATATGAGATACCCTGGAGTGTCTACTTTTACAAATGGTAGGCCTTTGTGGGGGGTTTTTGAACAGTCAAACTGCTATAATACCCCAAATTGAAGCATAGGCCCATTAAATCCGCCTCCAAAATTCTACTGTAAATGTTGAAACGGACAGGTCTCCTATATGGCACTGTAGCTTCACGAAATAGTGCCAAAGACATACAATGGGGGTATCGTTGTACTCAGCAGAAGTAACTGAACACAAAATAAAACTTTGTACAGGAATAGCACACACCAACTTTACAAAATACACATGAGAAGTTCTTTGTTATAAGTTTGTGTGCCAAAAACCCCAAAAAACTAAATTTTTATGTAGAAAGTGTCAAAACAACCTTAGGACAATAGCCTGTGATGTCTACTTTATATAAATATATACTTTTTTGTGGCAATGTTGTTTTCTTTTATGGATATTAAGCTTACAAGACACACATACCAAATTCTAAAATCGCTCCACATTAAAACTTTAGGGAGAGTCAAAAATGGGTCGCAAGAGAATACTGAGAACGGGCAGCAGCTGAAATAGCCTGCCCTTCGGTCGGTCCCCGCTCAGTTCTCAAGCTGATTTTTGCTCATCTTGTGCCATTACAGAGAGAACATATCTGAAGCATATCAGACTGGTCCCACCCATACGGGCAGTCCAGATCCGAAACGCCAGCAAGTTCTCTCTACACGAGAGATACAGCAACCCCCGACGATCGTTTCAGCCTTGTTAGGCATCATCAGTGAGGCATAGCTGATATCTCCCTAGGCACCGTGAGCAAGGGGTCCACGTCTGGATTATCCCTTTAAAATTGTGGAAAGTCAAAAATGGGTCGCAAGAGAATACTGAGAACGGGCAGCAGCTGAAATAGCCTGCCCTTCGGTCGGTCCCCGCTCAGTTCTCAAGCTGATTTTTGCTCATCTTGTGCCATTACAGAGAGAACATATCTGAAGCATATCAGACTGGTCCCACCTATACGGGCAGTCCAGATCCGAAATGCCAGCAAGTTCTCTCTGCACGAGAGATACAGCAACCCCAAACGATCGTTTCAGCCTTGTTAGGCATCATCAGTGAGGCATAGCTGATATCTCCCTAGGCACCGTGAGCAAGGGGTCCACGTCTGGATTATCCCTTTAAAATTGTGGAGAGTCAAAAAATGGGTCGCAAGAGAATACTGAGAACGGGCAGCAGCTGAAATAGCCTGCCCTTCGGTCGGTCCCCGCTCAGTTCTCAAGCTGGTTTTTGCTCATCTTGTGCCATTACAGAGAGAACATATCTGAAGCATATCAGACTGGTCCCACCCATACGGGCAGTCCAGATCCGAAATGTCTTTAGCGACCCATTTTTGACTCTCCACAAGTATAAAGGGATAATCCAGACGTGGACCCCTTGCTCACGGTGCCTCGAGAGATATCAGCTATGCCTCACTGATGATGCCTAACAAGGCTGAAACGATCATCTGGGGTTGCTGTATCTCTCGTGCAGAGAGAACTTGCTGGCATTTCGGATCTGGACTGCCTGCCTGTATGGGTGGGACCAGTCTGATATGCTTCAGATATGTTCTCTCTGTAATAGCACAAGATGAGCAAAAATCAGCTTGAGAACTGAGCGGGGACCGACCGAAGGGCAGGCTATTTCAGCTGCTGCCCGTTCTCAGTATTCTCTAGCGACCCATTTTTGACTCTCCACAAGTTTGAAGGGATAATCCAGACGTGGACCCCTTGCTCACGGTGCCTAGAGAGATATCAGCTATGCCTCACTGATGATGCCTAACAAGGCTGAAACGATCATCTGGGGTTGCTGTATCTCTCGTGCAGAGAGAACTTGCTGGCATTTCGGATCTGGACTGCCTGTATGGGTGGGACCAGTCTGATATGCTTCAGATATGTTCTCTCTGTAATGGCACAAGATGAGCAAAAATCAGCTTGAGAACTGAGCGGGGACCGACCGAAGGGCAGGCTATTTCAGCTGCTGCCCGTTCTCAGTATTCTCTAGCGACCCATTTTTGACTCTCCACAAGTTTAAAGGGATAATCCAGACGTGGACCCCTTGCTCACGGTGCCTAGGGAGATATCAGCTATGCCTCACTGATGATGCCTACCAAGGCTGAAACGATCGTCTGGGGTTGCTGTGTCTCTCGTGCAGAGAGAACTTGCTGGCATTTCGGATCTGGACTGCCCGTATGGGTGGGACCAGTCTGATATGCTTCAGATATGTTCTCTCTGTAATGGCACAAGATGAGCAAAAATCAGCTTGAGAACTGAGCGGGGACCGACCGAAGGGCAGGCTATTTCAGCTGCTGCCCGTCTCAGTATTCTCTTGCGACCCATTTTTGACTCTCACAAGTTTAAAGGGATAATCCAGACGTGGACCCCTTGCTCACGGTGCCTAGGGAGATATCAGCTATGCCTCACTGATGATGCCTAACAAGGCTGAAACGATCGTCTGGGGTTGCTGTATCTCTCGTGCAGAGAGAACTTGCTGGCATTTTGGATCTGGACTGCCTGTATGGGTGGGACCAGTCTGATATGCTTCAGATATGTTCTCTCTGTAATGGCACAAGATGAGCAGAAATCAGCTTGAGAACTGAGCGGGGACCGACCGAAGGGCAGGCTATTTCAGCTGCTGCCCGTTCTCAGTATTTTCTAGCGACCCATTTTTGACATTAAAACTTTATTTTACTTCTTGTGCTTTGTGACCTGTAACTACCAAAAAAAAACTTAAAATCCTAGACACATTATATATTCTGTAAATCAGAACAACTAAATGAATTTATTTTTAATTACTTTCTTTAACCTGCACTAATTAGGCACACATTATTATTGCAAAAACTGTACAAAAAACACAACATTTTTCTTTTTTTTTGCATTTTTCTGTATTTTTTTTAAAATAAATAAGCATTTATATATATATATATATATATATATATATATGTGTTACATAGAATTAAAGCCCTTTCTGTCCTTTAAAAAACAGTATATAATATGTGTCAGTGCAATAAACGAGAGAGATGCAATTTGCAGTTGAACGCATACAGCAAGAAAATGCAAAAATTGCTTGTGTCATTAAGCGTAAGACAAGTGTCCTTAAGGGGTTAATGTAACTGTGAAGCACTTTGGGCAACAACGTTGCAATTAAATGTGCTATATACATAAATAATAGTTACTCCGCCCACTCCAGTTGTAGACTACTGGTGGAGGCAAGAACTTCACACAATTTCCCTGGAAATTGTAGCTTTTCTAGTTACCACTGTAGGGCTAAGGGACGTGGTACATTGCACCCAGACCACTTCAATGAGCTGAAATGGTCTGGGTGCCTTTAATGAAAATTTCAGTTTTAAATAGGAATATTGTTGAAAGATTTCCCAGTATCTAATTAAAATGTCTATTATATTTTAACTATATGATTATACCATTAATTAAAAGTACTAACAATAGTTCTTTGCAACAGAGTGACATTCTCATGTAAAAAAACATTAAACTGATCCAAACACACCACCACCAAATTACACCAGGAACTCTTTAAGGGGTATCTCACCTTGAAGACCTATTAATTTCATAAATGTGTTTATTTTTGTATATACATGCAGGTTTATTCTTGTATATACATTGAGGTTCATACGTTAAATAATGGACTGTGGTGAACTGATCTGAATAATAAAACAGTAAAACATTACTTACATTATAAAATTAAAAACAAAAATGTAAATAAAAGATCTAATAAATGTTATGCATAAAAGGAATATCACATTGATAACACCATAGAAAGTTGTGTTTAAAAGTTGAACTTGATGGACTTGAGTATTATTTCAATCTAGATTCCTACGTCACTACAAATACAGACCTGTTCAAATTAGCTTCTGTGAGTTCCAAGCAACCCAGTCCGTATTACGTGCCATAAATGAAATGAAAAAGAATGTGTACTTATAAAAAATACTTTAACATACTTTTATACTTTAAAATTTGTACCGGAGCGCTAGTTCCACATAGGTTTTCCTCCTATGGTATTCCAACAGCTACTAAGGAACAAGCAGGATATTACGAGAAGCACAGCATAAGCAGTAAATAAATCCACAAATCTCCCATCACCTTTCACAATAACTGGATAACACTCAGTATCAGTGTCAGAACTGATTTTTAATGCACACACTCAGCTTTTATACAATTCTCCCATGCAAGGGAGACACCCACAGAGAATTAGGAATTAGCCGATCAATAGATGGGTACAGTACACATATTCCCTCCCCTCAGCCTGAGAGATAACTTAATTATCCATAAATTGTAAAACACATTTTTCCCCAATTCTTGGATGTACCGCAAAACCATAACATACACCCATGATTCACATATCCCCTGATAGCTCCAATCTGGGTGGTTCAGGGGTTCACTAATTTCCTGGAGGTCTTAGTTTTACTCACCGCACACGAGGTGTATGCCCAAAATATTTACACACGAAAGGTCTGTGCGGTCGGTCTTTGTTTGAGTAGCCAAAACATACGAAATCCCAGGGCTAGAGCATTCGTGACTTAGTTCGGCATAATCCCCTCGTTTGTATACTGATTCTCAGAAACTACCGCTCTGTTCGACTGGATTTTCACAAACTTCCATGAGGTTGGAGGTTTTAGCGGTGTTCGTGCCGTCGAGTTTCCAATTTGGGTTTCAGACACTCGACGACCAAACACCGCTGGTTTCATTCGAATGCCAAGATGGCCCCCGCCACGTGTTCGTCTATACGAACGACGGCCACCCTGAAGATCACACAGGGGTTTGGGCATTTGCGGTTAACCAGGTATGCTGAAGGTTAATAATTGGTGCCACACTCCCCTCCTGGGTGGCCGGGTTGTTGGGTACTTTGTTAGTTTTTCAAACCATATAGGATAATCCAATATAACTGGTGTTAGTACCGAATAACTAAACAAAATAACACAGGAACACAGTGCAATGGAGGGATACAATACAACAGAATAAAATACACACACAGCGGTATGGACAGCCTCTAGTACTAAAAAGGGGTACTGAACTACAGCCCATTTCTCTACAAACTTAAACTTATAACACATATTTTCCTTGCAGTCATTCATTATTATATACAGGGCTCTGCCATTTTTTCTGTATATCAGCTCCAGGTGGCATCAGTATAGTGCTTCAGATTCTCTTATTGCACCTATATAGTTATTTTGGGAGTTGTCTCCACACCTGTAGAGAGTGATATTTTGTAATTATTTTCCTCTCCTATTTTTCCGCTTTAATCCAAACAGTTATCCTGTTCGCTTTCATCCAGGGAGTTATTCTGTTGTATCTTTTTTTTTTTTTTCTCCAGTATGAAGCATAAATGTGTAAACTAGAATATTTTGAAGAACTCTCGCATTCCAGTAGATATTGAAACGGTTTCATTAGTTTCAAGTGAACAATCTGAATGCCAAGGTCACCATATAACCACAGCAATAAAAATATTTCACAGATAGTGACATTAGTCCCTAAAACCAGAAATCAAATACGAAGAAACAAAAAAATTATAAAACCATAAAGTACAATTCGGCAAACTAAACGCAGTTGTTGTACATTGCTAGCAATAGAAATAATCAGTGGCTGTTGCATGTGGTTAATTCACTCATATAACAAAGTTACTGTACCACTAGTTAGAAGATACACTCATAAGGATGTAGAAAATAATAAAATAGCATAATGTCAATTTGCAAAGTAAAAGGGGCACAATTGAGACATTATAGGCATTGAAAGCCATGTATCAGTGTTTGCAGATGACTCAAAACTTTGTAAAGTAATAAAATGTGAGCAGGATATTGCTTTGCTGCAGAGGGATTTGGATAGATTGGGGGACTGGGCACTAAAATTGCAGATGAAATTTAATGTAGACAAATGCAAAGTTATGCACTTCGGGGTTAAGAATGCACAAGCAACTTACACACTAAATGGTAGTAAATTAGGGATAACCACACACGAGAAGGATTTGGGAATTGTTATAGACAACAAATTAGGCAGCAATATGCAATGTCAATCTGCAGTTGCTAAGGCCAGTAAGGTTTTGTCATGTATAAATAGGGGCATAAATTCTCTGGATGAAAATATAATTTTGCCTCTTTATAAATCGCTGATAAGACCACACCTTGAATATGCTGTGCAATTTTGGGTGCCTGTTCTAAAGAAAGATATCATGGCACTAAAAAAAGTCCAGAGACGAGCTACAAAATTGATAAAAGGAATGGAGCATTTTAGTTATGAAGAAAGGTTAAAAAAATTAAATCTGTTTAGTTTGGAAAAACGGCGCCTGAGAGGGGATATGATAACTTTATACAAAT